TGTCAACAACCCAATTTCATACATCTCCTTTTTGTGATTGAAAGTATGAGATTGTGTTATTGGTCAGAAGGGTAGCAGGTGAATAGGCTCGTATGTCGCTTCAATTTTATAAAAAAAAAACAGGGGTTTTTGAAACGACAATGGGAAAAGCCAGCAAGACATCATGATTTCTGATAGATTACGAAAAGCAGAAAAACCTGATAGAAAGGTTTCTGATAGATAGGTATCTACAACCTGGGTGGTATTTAATACCATCGAGAATGTGAATGAATAACGTTGAAGAGTTTTGTATGGTGAGTGAAGAATAACCTTAATACTGTTAACGAGCCATCCTATCTTAATCGATAGATGTGTCAACGGTTTTAGGAGGATTGAGGATAGATGTAAATGTCTATGGGCCGCAGTGTTTACCATCAGGTAGAGAGTGTGCTCGTTTGTCACCCTTGTTTGTATAAAAAATCCAGACCGGCGACTAGAAACAGCGTCGCCGCACCGGTTTGAATTTATAATTACTAATCCGCCTGCTAAATGTAGAAAAATTATTAATGGAGGAAAATATGCAGGCACCTTAACGAATTTTGCATAAGAAAACATACGGAATTAGATTAATATGAATCATACACTCTTGGTATTTTTAATCAACGCGGAATTTTATCCTCATTGTTGTATTGTATGTTACGCTTTCGAAGGAAAAAGTAATTTAACTTTTTATTTCTTACATTCTGTCAAAATTCTGTCAGAGAAATTAAAAGTAAAATATAAATAGCGACTTGCTGCCGCTTCAAAAGGCTTCTATTCATTAGTGTGGTGTTATTTTTTCTTTATCTTGGATTGTGGCATAATGTGAGTTGCTGCTACCCAAAGCCTAAACAAAACTGCTCCCCTCCTTCCCTAGTTTTTGAATAGAATATAATTTAATATAATAATAACACATTTTAGTCAATATTGATTAAAATAATACTTATTGAAAGTAATTTTTTACTTTTACCACTGGTTTGGAAACAAGTTTTCCAAACAAGCCTAGATCCCTGCTGAGCATATGCTTCCTCCATAGTTTACGTTACAGTCATGTATTTACTATAGTTGCCACGCCTGGTAAGGGACAACCGCAGTTTGTTATTGTTCAGAGTTATTATCAGAAGGATGCTGCTGCCCATATCCAGTTTTGTTTTCCTTTCTCACCCTCACGACACCCACGGTACGATAGAGGGTAGTGGATATTATTACACCACCACTACATGGTAACAGACAGGGCAGACCTCTGTCTAGTTTAAATGTTTATTTATGTCTTAATAGCGTGCAAATAACCCTCTGTTAGCCTGTTATTCTAATGTTACAGACAGACTCTACAATTTTATTTTTGGGTACAGATTTAATAATGTATACAATAATATTATGTATTTTATTACTTACTCCTAGCCATTTGTTGTACATGAGTGTGCGGGTGGGCATGTGGATTTGCGTGTGCTTGTGAATATGTGTTCGTATGCGTACCAAATCGGGAGAGTAAAAAAACTTACGCGTCCAATGTAGCTCCTCCTAGTAATAAATATTATAAAGAAAAACTTAAAAAAGACGTATTGGTCATGAGCTATGATGATCCTAGTGAGAATTTTATCATAGAGTCATAAAATTATTTTAATAACATACGTCTGCAAATTTTTCTGATTATTCAGATTTCGGAAAGTAAGTTAAAAACTGAACTTTTCAATTATAAACCCATACAAGCATACACACAAAAAGATCAAGATAATTAAAGCATGTTACTAAAAATAATAAAATTTTATATGCCTCTTTGCCTCATTCACTGCTACCTCATCTAACTTTGATCTTATCTCAAAGTGTTATATCTAACAGGAAAAGACGGGAATCCCAGTGTTACATCGAACACGAATAGACGGGATATCCTGATCGAAAACGGTCAGGGGGACATTTTTCTTTCATAAAATTAGACTTTTATTGCAGCTTTAGACTAAAATATTGCTTCGTTGGCGTCATTTCTAAAACCAGCAATATTTACATTTATTAACATAACTCTGACAATGTAAAATAGTACTAAACTTTTAAGAAACGCTTGTACAAGTGTCAGTGAAAAGCAAAAAAATATCATTAATACCTATACAGATTTTGCATACGAGTCCGTCAAGGTACCGCCCTCTTACAAATTTTTTTTAAAAAACGTTACCTCCACACTAGGATTTTGTCCTGTATCGTGGAGGCAGTTTACAAACACAAATTGCATAAGGACAAACATCCAGACCCGGAACCATTATTTGTAGGCCATACAAATAGTTGTTCCGTGAGGGATTCGTACCCGCGGCCCCCAGCGCAGCAACTCATTGCTAAGCCACTGCGCCACGGAGCCGTCGTTACTCGTACCTAATTCTGCCACCAAGTAGCAATGTGTACACTGTGGTGTTCCTCTCTGAAGGGTATAGAGAGCCAGTACAATAACAAACTATAAGGTATTCCATCTTATTTCTCATGAAATGATCATAAGAGATGAAAAGTATTCTTTGTTAAAAGTTAGTTTCAGGAGTCCACTGGCTGCAGTAGTCACGTATCATCATCATTTATACTCGCGATTGTTATCACTTAGCTACTAGCTAGCTTAACACCAGCTTCATTTTTGTGATTCAGATTAACACCTGTACATCTTTCACAATATTTATTTTAAATTATCAATTTTCTAACTATAAAAACCGTCCGGTTTCGACTCATGGAATCATCAGGGTTTTTATAGTTAGTCCTACTAATAATATAAACGTGAAAATTTGTGAGGATGTATGGACGGTTGTAACTCTTCCACGCAAAAACTACTGAATGTATTTTCATGAAACTTTACAATACTTTAGCTCATATATCAGAACGACACATTGGCTATAAAATTAATACTTTAATCGCTTCTGATGTTCAAAGTAGATGAACTTTGCCTTTTAAACTGCCTTATTTTTAAGACAAGTCAGATTATAATTCTAAAATATAAGAACTTTTGTCGGATGCAAGCACTTATAAAAAGGTTAAAAACGACCCAATAACACACTTAAAATTACTAGTGACCTCATAAAGAAACACTCTGAAAAATTAAATCTCGTCGTAAAATCGATAATATCTACGTGTGTCAAACCACCGAAATTGTATGGGTTACCAAAAATACAAAAGCCCAATTCTCCACTACGTCCCATAGTGAGCCAAATCGATTCACCAACTTACAGATTGGCTCACCACTTAGCAAAAACACACTCACCGCTCAGGAGACATACAACAGCTTACGTAATATCAAATATTTTAAAAGTAATGACGATATAAAATTGTGCGGTCCGGCGCGCGCAGGGCGATCGGACATACTGCAGGCGAGGTGAGGGAAGACATTGCTCATCGCCATGTGAGAAAATATACCTCTTCACGCATAAACCGCTCAACCGATTTAGATGAAATTTGGTATCGAGATAGTTTAAGTCCCGGGAAAGGAAATAGGATAGTTTTGACTACGGAAATCATCACTAAAGACGGTGATGGAATTTGTTTTGAAAGTGCGATTATTAATAGATCACCTATGGTTTAAAGTATAATATCTACGCGTAAGAAGTCGTGAATAATTCGATAGTGTTTTAACGTTTTAGGTCGATGTATATCAGGTGTTATGATAATTGTTTTTAGTAGTCTTTGAAGAACTTGCTAATGTTTCCTCTGAAGGGTTTCAGTCGTAATCTTCCACGGGGACCAGCCGGTTTGGAAGATGTGGTTTAGTGTTCGTTTTTATTTACAGTGTGTTTTCCGTGAGAGAGGACGGTAGTTGATATTGTTCATATAAAAGCTTTTACAAAAATTTACTTCGCAAATATCCGCGTTATAAAATAAAAGTCACTTAGCGGTTAGCCACCGTAGAGTCTATATCACCTGAGGATGCCTCGTGTAGAGGCGAAACACGTGTCGTATTATCGTCAGTGGTGTGTCTTGCCTAGTGTAGTGGTGTTGGAAGTAGCGGTGCTGGGATTAGTGGTGACGGGGATAGTGCACGCAATTGAGGGAGGGCGGGAGGTGCTTCTTCATACTAGGTAAGACACATCATTTTATTTTATAACGCGGATATTTGCGAAGTAAATTTTTGTAAAAGCTTTTATATAATGGATTTCCGCAAAGTAACGCCTGATTCTATTAATGATATTGTTCATTATTTGTTTGGTCGTATGGTAGGTTGTTTTGATTGTTAGTGGTTTGGTTTTCGGTTTTTAGGAAACTGAGTATTCCTGGTTTAATAATTACCTCTGATAAACTCGAGTTCTGTTTGAGCTTTGTTGCACATCGTTCATTTGTTTGTAGACCACTGTTAACAATCTAATGCGGAAAATGTTATTAATAGTTCAGGTTTGAGGTCTTTTTCAATTCACTGTTTTGCACGTATAATAAATTGTTACTAACTGTTTTTGGACAGTCACTTGCTTATTATTCCACTTTACTTGTTTTCAATGTTAAATATCACTTGTATATATTTTTATTTTACACTAAATATGGAAACGATGTTTATCGTCGCTCAGTAGCACCCTCTCCTTTTTTATAGATGTGTCTATGGGCCATTAAATGAAAAATATAAGTGTCATGAGCCAGAGTGCTGTTTGTAACCCATAATTGTATTAAAATTATTGCCATTATCGATAGCCAGAGATGATAGCCAGAAAATAGGAAACATTCATAATATCTGCAAACCGTACTTAAACCCTTTTAAGTCTATGTATTTATATAGAAATAGGAATGTTGGAATAAAAATTGATTAAACATATTTTGCGATAGCTAATCTGTATCTAAATTCTTATTGTAATTAAAAAGTAAAAAATAGTTATTACAAAAGAATTTTGGAGTGAAATAATTTATTGTTTATGTATGCATTAGTTACTATTTAAAAATAGAAGTAGGGTGTAATTCAAAAAAAAATAATTTGTAATTTGCCTAATACATATTATAATAACTCTTAAATAATGATCATCTAAAAATTAAAACTATCATAATTTGATACTTGCAGTGGAAGACTTAATCTTTTGAAACGCATACGAATTTATTTCCACGCTGTCAATTTTTCTCTCAACTTCTTCGAGTTCTTTCATCTGTCTTTCTTTGTCTTCATTCGACTGCTGCCTTTTGTAACGAACTTCTGGAGATATAGTAAGATTTTCTTTGTTTCCAGAACTGTTTTTGTTGTTAGAAATCCCACCTGCTTCTTTGGTGTTTTGATAAAATTGTCTACTATTGTGAATAATGTTGCTCGAGACACGCCTGATTCTGGGAAGTGATTTAAGACTATCGATGTATTTTCTTTTACACTTCGGACATAATCTTTCGATATAAGATCTTTTGTTTATTTTGAAGTTGTATGGACTATCTGCGTTGACAAGCATTTCTCTATCAACATTTAAAATCTGGCCATTCACTGTTATAAGTTCTTTTGGTTTTTCAATTTTAGAACTATTTGATAAAGCTGTTTTCCGCTTTTTATTTTTTGTAGATTTTAATGTGTCAGGCTTTTTATGGGAAAAAAACGGGAACCTAAAATTTTGTAGAGCCCTGTAATAAGTAAAATACATTAAAAAATTTGTTATTTCTTTACGGAATAATAAAAATAAAGTTTACCCTTTTTTCTGTTGATAATGTATTAGGCTTTTTTCATCTTGATACATATTTTTGTAAATATTTTCCTGATTGTGCTGTGAATTTACTTTTCCGATTTCGTCTGCATCTTTATGATTCTGTAATTCTTTTAAAGGCATATACTTTTCATTAGCTTCTGCCGAATTTTCTTGCGCTGAATCCATGTATTCATCCCACTTATCATGTAGCTTGTCATCTGTGTTTAAATTCTTTATACTTTCATATTCACTGTAATCTTTTGAAGGCAACCTTCTGAAACTACAAAAGATTAAATTCACTAAAAATTGTCAAATCTTTAAATCCATTCGCATCGCATTTTTGTATTTTCCCGTAGCACTATTCTAAGCTGTCACTTATTTTTAGGTCCACTGCAGTAGATTAGAGGCTAGCAAAGTGTTTTAATTTTAAAACCCCTAACAATTAGAGTTCTGTTTTCGTTAGCACCATTTACCTTCACGGTTATCGCATATTTTAATGTTTATTTACCACAAGCTTAGGAAAAAATCACCTGCAATTCCTCTAACGTTGCAAATCTCAATTTTTTCCACTTTGTTGTCCATATTTTATATATTCGAACCAAATAGTTTGCTTTGTCTTTTGTAATGTGCACAGCAAAGGAGTGAAATAGTCCCATTAAAATCTGGGCGTCTTCATCTCCACTTACCACAGGTGGGATTGTGATCAAGCACTAGCTTATCATAAGTAAAAACAAACCATAAGATGGTCAGTATTTAGTAGCTCGTTTGCTTCATCTTCTACAAAATATTAACAAAAGTACACTTAGCCCTTAATAATTTAGTATTTACAATGTTACTTTATATTCGATAGCTTTAGATTATCTGTAAGTTGAAACCGTGGTCGAAAATCGTTTAGATAAGATGTAATACTCGTATTTGTGTAAAACAAAAGTTATTGGATTTCGCATTTAGACCCGTTCTAGTAGTCCTATCATGTCTACTCTCTACATTGCGTTCAAACCTTCTTGAATTTGTAAATGCTACATTTAGTAGTTTAAATTAGTCTACAGTTTGCGACAGCGACTCAAATCGTTAACGAACGAGTCCTCTCTTGTCGGCTCGATTCACTAGCGCTAAGAGATGTTGCATCTCTTTGCATTTTCTTTCGCATCTACCACAGTTTTAAGGAATTGTTCCGATTTATCCCAGCCGCCAAATTTCACGAACGCACGTCGCGGTAAAACTCCCGATAATCTCCATACCATCTGGATACTTGGCGCTCCACCACTGTACGTTTTACTAAGAGTTTTCTTCTCGTACGATCTCTCTTTGGAATAGTTTACGACCGGCGATTTTCCGGACCGACACGACTTAGGGACCTTCAAGAAAAGAGCTTACTCCTTCTAAAAGGCCGGCAGCGCACCTGCAATTTCCCTGGTGTTGCGGTTGTTCATGGGCGGTAGTAGTCACTTAACATCAGGTGAAAAGTATGCTCTTTTGCCCCCTCTCCTTAAAAAAGTTAGAACTAGCATTTGGCGATTTTCGATGATATTTTGAACTTACCGTAATTGAAATCAGCGAGGAAAAATAAGTTGAATTAAAAATGTTTTTTTTTTATAGAATAGGGTGTCAAACGAGCACACAGTCCACCTGATGGTAAGTGGTTGCTGTGACCCATAGATATCCACATTTATTCTCAATAAAGAATCAAAATGCAGACGCGTTGTCAAACGTGAGGACTAAGATGGAATGCCTCTTTTCCAGTAAAAAGGGTCGCCGGTTTTCTACACTCATCATACGAAATACAGCAGTGTTAAGCTGCTATTTTACGCTGGTATTCTGTCAGAACGTGGTCCTTCCCCGGTCGAGCCGATCCTTTCGTGCTACAACTATACTATTAATATAGCTGCAGCATGGCTCTACCACGTAAAAAATAAAATATTCCGTATCGTATATTAATTAAAATATTGATGTATCTATTATATATATATATATATATATATATATATATATATATATATATATATATATATATATATATATATATATATATATATATATATATATCATATATACATAAATTTCATTTTAGTGTACTTTAAGTTTTATTTGGTGTAAATACATAATACATAAAAAATAAAAAATCCTTATAAATTCAAAGGTTACCTTTTACGAGCTGAGTCTCCATATAGCCCATTACGTTCTGCGATATTATCAGGACCTTGTATAAAACTAGCTAAATCAAACTGTGCAATAGGTTCAGTATCTAAAAACTTATACTCTTGACGTTTTCTATGCATCTTCTTTTTATGTAGTTTAGGATGCTTATTAGTATTTCTATTTTCATATCCATTAACGGACCTATACTGGTGATCTAAAGCATCATTATTTAAATAATCATAGCAAAATATCAATTGAAAATACAATAGGAAACTTAGTAAATAAAAATATCGTAACATCTTTAATACGTGACATGACCTCACATGTCATTTATAAATGTTTCATCATTTAGCTTCTTAGCTATGGGTTATTGAGCCTCTTTGCTTTAAAATGGCTAATAATACTTAATAAAAATAGTAAAATTTATTTTAGATATTTCGTTTTGATCTATATTTGGGTAGATAAAAACTATGTAAGTTTAAAACTTATCAATTATGTGTGTGCACGAAACGTGAATAATATTCCAGTGTATCGTGATTAGATTGAATGTATAGTTTATCTACAAATTCTTTATTTTTAAAATCATTAATAAATTTTTTTATAATTTTTATAATCTTTTTTTTTCGGTAACTAAAGAGTTTACAATCCATCTGATGGTAAGGGAATGCGGTGGCCCATGGACACTTAGATACCATAGATACCACAGATGCGTTGTCCCACCTGAGGACTAAGGAATTCCTCGTTAATATATTAGTAAATTCATGTGTATATGTCTGCGCCGCAGACATTTATAAACTTTAATTCATACAAATATATTTATATTGTCTGCTTTATAAATAATATATATAATCTAGAATTGTAAAAAAGAAAGATTCGCAATATGGCACGTTTGAAAGATGACCTTATCACAAAAATTGATAAGGGCGTGTTTCGGTGGTTTGGGCACGTTGAGCGAATGAGTGAAGACCGAATGGTGAAGAAAATATATAGCGCGAAAGTTAATATTAAAAGGTGTCGAGGTAGACCGAGACTAACTTTCGAAGACCATGTGAGCAAATTGCTCGAAGAGGGTAGGGTCAAGAGTACTCGGATACCTAGACGTGCATGCATGAAGAAGATAATGAATCTGAAAGAAGCGAAAGAGGTTTGTAAGGATCGTGACACTTGGCGATCTGTTCTCTCTGGCTACCCCGTCAGTGATTGTGCGTCAAGATAAGTAAGTAAGTATTTTTTTTTTTTTGGAGTTTATGGCCTGGCATCTAAACCTTTAGGCCAAGTCTTGAGTATTTTTATTCGGTTTATTATAATTTCCCCACTGTATTTTTGATGAATTTATATAGAGGCACGTAATAGGATCTATTTTTTAACATATCACTCAGGCGGCGGGAGGGATCTTGCACTGTCACTTGATTTTGCACTATGTCACTAATTTCACTGACAAGAATCAATCTGTCAAATGAAAAGCACTCACATGTAAATATGAAATGTTCGATATCACCAACAGAATTATTGCAGAAGGTGCAGTAACTGCTCTCCACTATGCCCAATCGAGCCAGGTGGGCCGGGACGGTGGAGTGACCAAAGCGCAGTCTATTTATAGTGGTAACAAAGTCCCGACTGGCCATTTTCAGTTTGTTATACCATGGTGCTACAGGTAGTTTTTCTTGAACAGTTCCATACCATTTACCCTTCTGTTCTTGATCTTGTTTCCAAAATTCGACCCATAAGCTATTGACCTGGTTGTCAATAGATTGATAACAGTCGGTCAAAGGTACTTTTACTATGGAGCTAACATCCAACATGTTGGTTCCATCACGTGCAATTTTATCTACTATCTCATTTCCTGTTATGTGATGGAATCCACATGAAAGAGACCTGTATACCCTTTTTTGCATAACTAAATAACAATTTTTTAATATTATACAAAATATAGTTTTTTTTAAAGTCAAATCTGAGATTAGTTAAACTTTGGACCATACTTAAACTGTCTGTTAAAATTAAAAAATTATTAAAACTATTTATATGTGCAATCCTCTTCAGGGCCTCGAGGGCCGCATATACCTCTGCAGTGAAAACACTGCATTTAGGGTCCAGAAGAAAACTTTGACCAAACTTGCATTGTGGATCATAAACGGCACTGCGCACAAAGAGCTCACTTTTGCTACCATCTGTATACAAAGTATAGTAGTTATTGTCGGAAATAAAACTTAATAATTCACAATTATTAAAAAAATTTTTGGTAACAATATTGGTCTCAAATATAATACAGGAATATGGGTATGTGTAGCATGTCCACTTTGATTGTTTAATTACATTTTTAAAATCTTCATTCATCTGCTGTACAATGAGAGGCAAAACTGGAAAATAACCTTGTAAAAGCTCACCTCCCGAAGTCTGCTGGACCGAGCATTGTAAAGGAAAAGGTACTATTTTTTTGAGAACATTATCATTACCAGATACCAGCTTTAGTAAATATCTCTCTATTAGCAGAAGTCTTCTAAGACACAGTGGCATTATTTTGGTTTCAACTTCCATAGCTCGTATGGGAGTTGAACACATAGCCCCAGAAATAATTCGCAGAGCTTTGTTTTGAATTATGTCTAGTTTCTTTACACAACTACTATTTGAGTAGGCTAAACAACTGTAGTCGAAATGGCTTCTGACTATAGATTTATATAGCATACTTAAAACTTTGGGGTCTGCACCCCAAGTCACACCAGCTAAACATCTTATAATATTTAAGCCCTTAAGAGAGTTAGTTATAATGTGATTGATGTGTAAATTAAAACAAAGTTTGTTATCAATGACAACACCCAGGAATTTATGGTTAGATACAACTGAAATTGGATGATTATTGTAGAGTATGCCATTAGAGGGAAAATCTTTACTAAAAATCATGGCCTTGCTTTTGTTAGGGTTAATCTGTAGAGCCAACTTGTCATTATAATATATGTACAATTGCTCTAAAGCATTATTTATACTATTTACAGCTCTATCTACATTATGGTCTGTACAATATATTACAAGATCATCCGCAAATTGTAAAATATTTACACCTTCTATATTTACAAAATTAAGAATTTGACTAGTGTATATGTTGTACAACAATGGAGATAATGTAGCCCCCTGCATTGTACCTTTGGAGACCCTTCTGGGACCATGGAGAATATTATTATGCCTTATATACAAAGTTCTATCTATTAAAAAATTAAATAACCATTGGCAAAGTATGCCTGGTATACCAATGTCAGAAAGAACTTGAACCAAAATGCCAGGATCTACATTATCAAACGCACCTTCAATATCCAGAAAAACACAAACACTGGACTTATTATTATTATTGGCATATTTCAGATCTGACAAGAGAGAGATGAAGCTGTCAGCACAACTTCTGCCTCTCCGGAAGCCATATTGAACATGTGGAATGATGTTGTTCGCCTCTACATAACACTCAAGACGCATCTTTAACATGTTTTCATTAAGCTTTCCAACACAAAATGACAAAGATATAGGACGATATGAATTAGGATCTTCAGGTGGCTTGTCAGGTTTAAGTAGAGGGATTACACACTGTGTTTTCCAAGATTCAGGAATTTTTTTTAAGTGCCAAAGAGCATTAAGATTAGCTAATAGTTTCTTTTGTACGGACTGATTTAGGTTTTTGATCAAAATGTATGGACATTATCTAAACCAGGGGTTGTGTTTCGTCTGGATTGTAAACTTGTACAAAACTCACTCCAAGTAAAGGGTTCTATGAGGAAACTGGACTTCTGAAGACTATTATTAATTTGAAAATAACTTTCTAGATTATCAATAACCCTACATCCATTTCGAGATAATTTGTCTTAAAGAGGGACTACAAATTCGTCTTTATATGTTCTATTATTGCATTTTATTCGTTTAAATAACTTGATGTATTTCCAAATAATACTAACAGGTGTAGTTCTGTTAAAAGTATTACAAATGTTAGCCCAACCATTGCGTTTATGTTCTGAAATAGTCTTTTTCTTAACAGCATTAAGTCTTTTGTAATTAATGTAATTATCAATGGTTGGATCTCTTCTGTACAGTTTTAAAGCTTCATAAGTTTTAATAACACTCTGTTCACATGTGTCACTCCACCAAGGTGCTGGAGGTTTGCAACGATAGTTGTTTGCTTTGACAAACTTTGGCACAGTATCTCTCCTAAGTGTATCAAGCCTTTCAATAAATTCATCATATGACTGTAATGGATTCTCATTATTAACTTCAAAATTAGAAAAAGCAGTTATAGACAGCTCATTGTATTTTGTCCAGTCTGTCTTGTTGTATAGGAATTTTTCAATGGGAGGATTAATTTGGTATCTATCAACTGACAATGAAACACGAGTAAGCGTAGGAAAATGATAGCTCCCCATACAATCATCATGCACCCACCATTCGCATAGTGGAGTGATTGAAGCACTACAAAAGCTGACATCAATAGCCGATGGATTTCGGTTAGGATAATTAATAGTAGTGAAGCTACCATTGTTGAGGACACATAGATCAAATTCATCAATTAAATCGTATAACTGATGACCCCGACTTTTCGTGGTCATACACCCAAATGCCACATGGTGAGCGTTGAAATCTCCAGCCACATATATTGGCTTAGGCAAATCTCTAATTATATCACGCAGTTTACTTATTCTGAAGTTACCATTCGATGGAGGGCAGTATACACATAAAATCGTTAATCGTTTACCACTTACATATAACAATAATGCCACAGTCTGAATGTCTTGGTAAAATCTGGTTTGAATAATATTATATTTAAAATACGGTTTGATCAAAATTGCTACCCCACCATGCTCATTTTGGGCATTATGATAGTGGAAATTATATCCCGAAATGTTAAAATGCTGAGTATCTTTCAGCCAAGTTTCATTGAGTAGACAGATATCAACATTTTGCTCATCTAAAAATTTAGACAATAAGGATTTTTTCCTATGTATACTTTGAATATTGTACTGAGCTATACATAACTGATGTATGTTCTGTACTGTACTGTCCATTATTGTGACAGATTTTTTAAAAGTAAGTCTTTAATGAACAGTGTAGTCACAGGTTCATTATCTGTTTTATTACCTAATTCGACTAAAGTTTGGACCATTGCCATCAAAATATTCTTATTGTTTGCAATTTGAGCCTTAAGTTGAGTTTGGTTCAAGTTGGGTTCAGGCACTGTTTTATTTACATTATTTACAATTTTTACATTTTTATTTAATTTATGTACATCTTGGTTTATTGATGGTAGGGTCTTAACAATGCTGCTCGA